GTGCAAGAACGGACCCTCCTTCCATTGGCTGCTGGCCCCGTCTCTGGCCAGAGCCACCTTTTCACTACAGCCTGGAGCCACCTTTCCACCTTCCCATGCTGCTCAGAGGCCCAGAGCAGCTGGGGTGGTGCGAAATGCCTGAGCCATCACCCTAGCGATTACGCAAATGTCCCGCCCCACCCCCAGCCACTTGCACCTACATATGCAAATTAACCCGCCATCTTGGGTTAATTTGCATACTCATTCCTGATTGGCTGGTGGGCGTCACAAAAGTATGGTCAATTTGCATCTTACTATTTTATAGTGTAGATCTGATGCATGAAATTTGTGTACTTGGGGTTTGGGGTCCCTCAGCCTGGCCTGCACCCTCTTGCAGTCCAGGAGCCCTCAGGGGATGTCCGTTAATCAGACATCCATAGCACTGCCACCACTGAACTTGCTAGCTGTGAGCCCAGTTTCTGACTGAGCAGTGTTCCCCCTATGGGAGTACACTGACAACCAGGGAGCAACTCCTGTGTTGAGTGTCTGCCCCCTGGTGGTCAGTGTGCGTCATAGAGACTGGTCATTTCACTGTTTGGTCAATTTGCATATCAGCATTTTATATGTAGGATAGATTTTCCATAAGAACAGCTATAAACCTACTTTTATGTATATTTGTACTAAGTCTTTAATTCATGTTTCGTAAGTTCTAACTTCACAGATATAGTCCTGCTATACCTTCTACACTCCCCAATGAGGAAATCCATATTATGCAATTAATTTGACTTGCTCTGTATCTACATTGTCAGGTCTTATAGCCATTATTACATCTATAATGTCTCTTTTTTAAAACCTTCATCAATTGTATGTGTAATTCTTTTTTTTAATTAAATAAATCTTTATTGTTCAGATTATTACAATTGTTCCTCTTTTTCCCCCCTATAGTTCCCCTCCACCAGGATCCTACCCCACCCTCTGCCCTTACCCCCCCCCCATTGTCTTCATCCATAGGTATACTCTTTTTGTTTAGTCTCTTCCCACACCTCACTACCCTTTCCCCTAGAGAATTGTCAGTCCACTCCCTTTCTATTTCCCTGATTCTTTTATATTCACCAGTTAATATTGTTCATCAGATTTTTTATTCCCTTGGTTTTTAGATTAACTTGTTGATAGATACGTATTTGTTGTTCATAATTTTTATCTTTATTTTTTTCCTCTTCCTAAAGAACTCCCATCAGCAATTCATATAATTCTGGTTTGGTGGTGATGAACTCCTTTAGCTTTTTCTTATCTGTGAAGCTCTTTATCTGACCTTCAATTCTGAATAATAGCTTTGCTAGGTAGAGTAATCTTGCTTGTAGGTTCTTGCTATTCATCACTTTAAATATTTCTTGCCACTCCCATCTGGCCTGCATAGTTTCTGTTGAGAAATCAGCTGACAGTCGTATGAGTGCTCCCTTGTAGATAACTAATTGTTTTCTCTTGCTGCTTTTAATATTCCCTCTTTGTCTTTTACTCTTGGCATTTTAATTATGATGTGTCTTGGTGTGATCCTCTTTGGATTCCTTTTGTTTAGTGTTCTGGGTGCTTCCTGGACATGTAAGTATTTCTTTCACCAGGTGGGGGAAGTTTTCTGTCACTATTTCTTCAAATAGATTTTCAGTATCTTGCTCTCTCTCTTCTAAGACCCCCATAATTCTGATGTTGGTATACCTGAGGTTGTCCCAGAGGCTCCTTACACTATCTTCATATTTTTAGATTCTTTTTGTTTTTTGCTTTTCCAGTTGAGTGTCTTTTGTTTCTTTGTATTCCAAATCTTTGACTTGATTCTTGCAATCCTCTAGTCTGCTTTCAGGTCTCTGTATAATATTTTTTATTTCAGTCAGTGTATTCTTAATTTCTAGTTGATCATTTTTCATATCCTCAAGGGTCTTGTTAAATTTATCAGCCTTTTCTAGAAAATTCTTTGAAAACCTTATAACCATGGTTTTGAACTCTATATTGAGTAGTTTGCTTTCCTCCATTTCTTTCATTTGTGACTTGCTTCTTTGTCTCTGCATTTTAGCTGCTTCCCTGAGTTGATGGAGTGGCTTTATGTGCTAGGTATCCTAGCAGGGCCCAGTGGCTCAGCCTCCCCAGTTACCTGAGGTGGACACTCTTGGTGTGCCCTTTTGTGGGCTGTGTATGCAGTCTTGTTGTAGTTAAGCCTAGATTGTTAACATCACTGGGGAGTTGACTTCCAGGCCAGCTGGCTGTGAGGATCAACTCTGTCTCCTCTGGGAGAGCTTCTGTGCTCAGGTTGGATGGGGGGAAGTCTCAGAGTGGAGCAGACAGCCTTGTTTTCCCATCAGCCCTGCCCTAAGTTGCTCCTGTGTCTCAGTGCCCTGCGGGAATGGCTGCACATACCTCAGAGAGAAGGTTGCTTTTGAGTTTTACCCGCTGCCAGACAGTCCAGTTTCTCTCCGAATGAATATGGGTGCTCAAAAGTCTCACCCAGAACTGGAGGTCAGTGCAGTCGGGAGGTTTTGTTTCCCTTCCGAACGAGAAAGCTAGCAGGCACTTGCTGCCCGCCCTCTCCGTGCACGGGCCTCTGCACTCTGTCCTCCACAGCTCCTCTGAGTCTCTGTGTCCTTTTCTCTTTCCTTCTCGTTGTAGAATTTCCACTCAGCCAGCTTTCGGGTGGTTCTGGAAGATGTCCGCTCTGTCTTCCAGTTAGTTTTGAAACTATTGTGCGAGGCAACATTATAGGTGTTGTCCTATGCTGCCATCTTGGTTTCTCCTTGTATGTGTAATTCTTATTGCCAGTCCTTATTTTGATGTGTCTCTAGTCACTTTGGTTGCCCAATGTTAGTCTGTTAGAGCTAGGAAGAGAACAATATTTCCTACATTTTTGCATGTTGATAACAGCTTGTCGTTACTCTTTATACTTAAAAGTAAATTTTATTTGATTGAAACCTTCAAATATGTCTTTGTGTATTTTAAATATATTATTCCATTTTCTTCTATTAAAGAAGAAAATGGAATAATATACTTTTTCTTATAAATCATGTGATGTTTTGCCTAAACACCCAAAGGATTTTTTATCCTTTTTTCTTTGAAGTCCCGGAATTTTAATAGAAAATGTAATTTTCTATATTAAATATAAAAGAATTACACTTTCTACTACACTCACTGCTGCCCTCCAGTAGCTCTCTGCCTGTTGCCCTACCCTCCTGTAGTTCCCTCCTTCCCCCAACCCCCTCATAGCTTGCTGCCCTGCCCCCTCCTATAGATTTGGTGCCTTGATCTATTATAAGTTGATTATCTGAAGTACACATGGTGTTCTTATATGTAATTTCACATATATGTATGTATGTTTGTGTGAGTATGTATACATGAATTTACACAGACATTTAACCATATATATTACACATACATAGACATTTTTTCTCCCAGGGAAGCTTTCTTAAATTATAGTTTTTATATTTGTCCATTTTATTACTTTGATTTTCTTCTGTAGGGACTCTTATTTTTATTCATATCTGGATAGTTTTTGCCTATTTCCAACGTTTGTCATCTTGCAAATCCTTTTTAATTTCTTTCTTCTTTTAAAATAATTTGTTGCCGAAACCGGTTTGGCTCAGTGGATAGAGCGTCCACCTGCAGACTGAAAGATCCCAGGTTCGATTCCGGTCAAGGGCATGTACATTGGTTGCGGGCACATCCCCAGTGGCGGGTGTGCAGGAGGCAGCTGATCGATGGTTCTCTCTCATCGATGTTTCTATCTCTCTATCCCTCTCTCTTCCTCTCTGTGAAAAATCAATAAAATATATATTTTTTAAAATAATAATTTGTTAAAGATTTTCATTCTTTTACTTTCTGTTTTTAAAATATTTTTTGTTGTGTTTATTTGCTTTTGTGTTTTTTTAATAGTTTAGTCTTCATTACTGAAATGATTTTTGCTTTTTTTCTAATGAATCCGTGCGGCAGTAGCTCGCCAGTAGCTCACTGCTGCCCTCCAGTAGCTCTCTGCCTGCTGCCCTACCCTCCTGTAGCTCCCTCCTTCCCCACCCCCTCATAGCTTACTTCCCTGCCCCCTCCTATAGATCTCCACTGTCCACTTGTAGCTCACTGCCCTTCCCTCCTGCTGATCCATGATTCAGTTAGTTGTTATGCTTCACAGTAACAACCATTTGCACATCACATCTTTATTATATAGGATTCTTTCTTGGTTTCTGTCTTCTCATTTCTGAGTTTTTCTGATTTTGATTTACATTGCTCTTTTATGTATTATAGTAGAGGCCCAGTGTTCGTGCACTGGTGGGTCCCTTAGCCTGGCCTATGCCCTCTTGCAATCCAGGACCCCTCAAGGGATATTAGATAACTGGGATTTGACCTGATCCCCACAGGCCCAATCCAGATAGGAGGGAGCCCGATTCTGTGCATTGAGCCCCTGTCCCCTGGTGGTCAATGTGCATCATAAAAACCGGTCAACCAGTTGTTCGGTTGCTTAGAATTTTATACATATAGATAATAAGTATTCTTATCACTCATAAAACATGTAAACTTAATTTTTATTATAGTAAAACATATAGCCCTGGGGATTATTTGACGTACTTTAGGTCAGTGGTCGCTAACCTTTTGGACCTCATAGACCACCAGTGGTCCATGGACCACCGATTGGCGACCATTACTTTAGATAAATAAGCAGCTGTAATTAATTTAGCATTGCTTTAAATCAAGGCTTCTAAATTGCAATTCTATGAATGAACTTCAGAGTTGATAACATAGCTTTATTATATGCAAAGTGGATAAGGAAAAATACCCTTTAAGAGGGAGAATAAACTATCCCCACACATACAAAAATTAAGGATAAGAACCTTTGGTTTTATAGGAAATATCCTAAAATATTTTAATGATTGAAATTATAAGAAATGGAAACAAATTATACATATAATAATTTTAAGATATAGGCAGAACCAGAGTCTATATTACATCAATTTTACTATCTGTTTGCTTATGTTTTTTCTAATTTTATGCAGATGGAGGGAGCGAGGAACCACCAGATCGAAGACAGTCAAGTGTAGACTCTCGCCAAAGTCGCTCTGGGCAAGGTAAATTAAAAAGAAAAGATAGCAGCTATACCTTCCTAGTACTTAATCTGAAGACTGGGGTTTTCACTGGGTCTAGTTTACATATTTAGTCGTTACAGTCTTAGGGTTCTATATCCCAATACATTTAATTTAAAATAGTTGTATATGACATCATTTGTTAAAGGTAAAAGAAAATAAAAAATAATCTCATGTCATTTTTAAATTACGTTAAGGTTTTAAGTAACTTTGGAGCATTGTGGTATATGTTTGGGTAACATTTATGGAATATAACCAAAAGTAAATTTTTAAAATATATATTTATACTAATCTCAGAAAGGAAGGAAAAGGGAGAGAGAGATAGAAATAAGAACATCAATGATGAGAGAGAATCATTGACCGCCTGATCCCTGCATTTTTCCCACTGGGGATCAAGCTTGAAATCTGGGCATATGACCTGACCAGGAATTGAACTCAACCTCCTGGTTCATAGGTCGGTGCCTAAGTACTGAGCCAAGCCAGCCGGGCCAGAAGTAAATGTTTAACAGTAATGTTTGTTAGAGTATCATCACACTGGCTTTTAAAAATTTGGTAAATGCTATATTTATAATCTTAGCTCTCTCAGAAGAGGTGGCTTTTGCTTATAATTACTGTCTTAAATTAGGATCTTCTTATTTTCTTTTTCTGTTCAAAATTTATCATTATAGGCTTTTAATTGTTTTCTTTTTTGAAGTGACAGCTTCCAAACTAGGTTAAAATTTGATGTACCAGTGACATTTTTAGATAGGCCTTCCCTCAATTACCTTATTCAAAACTAGAGGCCTGGTGCATGAATTCGTGCATGGGTGGGGTCCCTAGGTTTGGCCAGTGATCGGGGTCTGACAAATGGGTAGAGGGATTGCAGGAGGTTGGCCAGCTGGGGGCAGGGACCACGGGAGGTTGGCCTCCAGTCCTAAGGAGGGAGCTGACTCTTGGCCCCACTGGGAATGTGGCCGTGGCCTCTGCCACCCAATCCCAGTTCCCAGTCCCAGGAAACTGGGAGAGGAGGCGATGGTCTCTGAGCCAGGTGTAGGAGGAATGGACGCTAGATGCCAATTCTGCCATCGGCACCCTGCCACCGCACAATTCCCTGCCTTCCCACCTCCTCCTTCCCTTGCCACTCACTGCTCCACCACCGTGGCAGGCAGGCAGCCCCCAGAGAAGGGAGAGGATGGGAGCGAGACAAACTCTTGTGTCAAGGGCTGACTTTCAGTAGATCGCAGCAAGGGAGCTGCTCTGTTACATATGAAACCTTGACCCCAAACCAGGTTGTCTATTAATGGTTTAGCATCAGGGGTTCATGGTAGCTGGCTGGCTGGGGAAGGGACCACAGGCAGTTGGCCAGCTACCAGAGGTTGGCTGTGGGAGCCCACTTACCACCAGGAGGCAGCTTCTGCATTGAGCATCTGCTCGCTGGTGGTCAATACGTGTCATAGCAACTGGTCGATCTGTCGTTTCAATCATTTGGTCATAATGGTCACTTATGCTTTCATAGATGTAGATATAGATATAGATATAGATATAGATATAGATATAGATATAGATATAGATATAGACACAGACACAGACACAGATTACATGAGTGGCACTCCTACTCTTTTTTATTCATTCTTTGTATTTATTTTATTTTCTCTGTCCAAAACTAGAATGAATATTCCATGATTGCAGAGATTTTGTCTGATTTGTTTATTGCTTTATTTTCAGTGCCAAGAATAAGTTTCTGGTATATAGTAATTACTGAAAAAATTTTGTTGAATGAATGAAATGATCTTGTAAGAGAATGAGAATTAAGAACCTAAATATATTACAGAATTTTAGGCAGTCATTACAGAGTTTGGTTTCTTAGAAACTCTTTACTTACAAATAAAACAAAGTTTAGATTTATAAATGTGTGGTTTTTTAATCCTATAAAAGCTCTTTTTCATAATCCTGTTCCCCTTTTCTTCAATTTCCTTCTTCCCAAGTTTTAGAGTTGTATTTTTTTTAATAAAATAGTTTGTTGCAGAATAAAAAGTGGAATAATTTATGCAGGTTGATTTGGAAGTTTTAACTTACACCATTACTTAATTGTTTTGAGAAATCTGACTAAAAAGGAAGACGTAAATGTAGTCATCAGAGGTTTCTTAAGTAAGCAGCTCAGCTAGATCACTCCATATATCAAAGCTCCCAGTCAGCCTTTGAGGCCTTTTCTTCTAAGTAGGAGCAGCTAATGAAAGATTACTAGATAGTTTTTAAAATCCTCTTAAAAATGGAGATTAAAATAAACATAATAAAGCAACTTGGAAAGAACAGAAATTTTACAAAGGAAAATAATTGAACCATTATTAACATCCTCAAGGAAATAAGAGAAAATAATACAGCCACAAAACAGGGAGGAGGTACTACAAAAGAATAATATTCTGATTTTTAAAAGAGGCTTTCACCATTAACATTCTGATAGCAGAGATCAAAAGCTATCAGAAGTAATAGGAAATTAATGTTGAAGAAATCTCTAAAATAGTTGAGCAAGAAAAAAGATTATGGAAAAGAAGTGAAAAGTGTTAAGAAACTTACAGGACCAGTCTGGGAAATTTCAATTTTAAAGTAATAGTTGTTTCCCCCCCCCAAAAAAAAGAACAGAGAAAATGGGAAATAAATCATCAATAAAATTATTCAAAAGAATTTCCTTGAACTTGAGGTTCCTGGTTGGAAGGCTTACTGAGTGTTCAATACAGTGGATGAATATAATCACCAATAAAAATACATTATAAGGAAATTTCAAATTACCGGTCCAAACAGATTTTTCATGCTCCCAGAGAGAAGAAAAAACTTGTCATATACTAAGTAACAGGAATCAATTAGCTTTGGACCTCTGAGTGGAAGCATTATAAAACTGAATGAAAATGGAACATCATTTTCAAAATTTTGAAGGAAAATAATTTCAACCTTAGTAATCCATATGTATCAAAACTATTGATCAGATATAAGAATAAAATTGGGATGTTTTAAGACATGTAAGGTTTTTTTGTGTGTGTGGGGGTGTGTGTTTGCCTGCCTTTTCTAGGAATCTGTTGGAGGATATAACCCATCAAAATTAAAAAGTCAGCCAAATAAAAGGAATTGGTTACAGGGAATAGGGAATTTAACAAAGGAGAAAGTGAAGAACTCTTTAGGATGATAATGAAACAAACAGGGACAGAGAGCAACCAGAACAGATTGGAGTAGGTTAGAAACCCCCAGAAGACTCTTTTTCAAGAAATGAGATTGATAGAAACCTGATGAATTTAACTATCTTTAGAAAATTTTTAGGCAAAGGCTCAGGTTTGAATTGGTGATAAATAAATAAAATAATAAGTGAAAATACTGTAAACTGAATGGAAAACAGTGTGCAGTAAAGGAGATATTAGAATAAGTCCAGTTCTTGGGAATGGTGTGGGATAGCTGGTGTCCATGCCATTTACCTCCATAAATATACACCATATTTTGAGATTTTTCTATGTTCTTTTCAAGAATGTTTGTCTTTACTTATTGAAGCATTCTTCTAATAGTTGCTTTAAGTTCCTTGTTTTATTATTCTAATATCTGTGTAAACTTAGGAATGACATCTGTTTATGGACTTTTTCCTTCTCAAGTTGAAATTTTCCTGTTGGATAATATACCATATAATTTTGGATTACATCTTGGACATTTTGAGTATGATGAGACCCTGGGTTTTATTTAAAACCTAAGGAAAATTGTGTGTGTGTGTGTGTGTGTGTGTGTGTGTGTGTGTGTGTGTGTCGATTGGTTGCTAGTCAACTAGACAAAGGTTCCTAACTATTTTCTAGTGGCTGGGGTCCCAATGTGTCAGTTCATTTTTCTAAGCACTTGCAGTAGTACTCTTTAGATCAGTTCCATTTATGTGATTCATTATCGATTCTGGGATCAAAGTGGTGGTATATCTTGTTGCTATATTCTCAAAGCCTATGGTATATTGTTTAGAACCAGACCCATGCATGCAGAGCTCAGAGATGGTACCAGAAGTTCATACTCAACTTGATTGGATTGTTTTCTTTGCTATCCAACCTCACGCCAATCTCACCAACACTTTGCAGTTTTCCAGAATCTCCCTTCCCATACTTAGCTTAAAAATAGGGACTCTAATTTTCCTGTTCTGCTGTTTAGTTTCAGCCACTGTATCTGTATCCATGTTAAGTGATAAGAGGAAAAAGAGCAATGAGAATTTGCTTCACACTTTTGGGATCATATTTTCTTAAGTCAGAGAAAAGGATTACCTTCTCTCAGAGTTTTAGGTACCTGCCCAGTCACCACTACTACCTCAGTGCTGTTGCTGCCATAGAATTGCCTGGAAACTGGGGGGGAGGAGAGAGGGAGATAGGGATTTCCCTTGGTCTCTCAGATCTTCAAGGGCCCTCTTTTCTACTCCTCATCAGAAAGAGAGCAATTTACTTGGAGGGTTTTTGTTTTGTTTTCTTTTGTTTTTTTAACTCTGTGTACATTTAATGAGTTTTGGGCTGCCTCTGAGTCCAGGTCAGGCAATACCTGAGGAAGAAATATGATAAGTTGCTCGGCTGGTGTGTCTCAGTGGTTGACATATGCATGAACCAGGAGGTCATGGTTCAATTCCCAATTAGGGCGCATGCTGCTGGGTTTTGGGCTGGATCTCCAGTAGAGGGTGTGCAGGAGGCAGCCAATCAGTTATTCTCTCTCAGCATTGATGTCTCTCTCTCTCCCTCTCTCTCTCTCTCTCTCTCTCTCTCTCTCTCTCTCTCTCTCTCTCTCTCTCTCTCTCTCCCCTCTTCCCCACCCCTCTCCTTCTCCGACTCCCTTCCTCTCTCTGAAATAAATAAAAACATATATTTTTTAAAAAGTGGTAAATTCACCACCACTTCAGTGGAACTTCATGTTCTGTGCTCCTTTCCCAGTCTGCCCACTACTATTTATTTTCAGACTCCTCAGATATGCAGCCTTTTTTATTTGTTGTTATGTTTGTATATTTAATTTTT